GATTACTTCTTATTCTTCCTCCTCCTCCTCCTCCTCCTCCGTTTGCTTCCCTTTAATAATGTTGACTCAAAGAACTAGTTTTTAATTTGCGTAGAGAAAACACAGATTAAAATCCAGCATAGTGTTTAAATAATTAGTGTCTTTAAGTGTCTAAATAATAATATGTTGTTGTTGTTGTTGTTGTGACAATAGAGACCTTTTTGGGCTCTATCAATATGCCCAATGTGATTCCTCTTTGAAGGTGGCTGAAGGAGTTTCTCTGCTCAGATGTAATGATGTCTCTGCTCAACACCTCCTCTCTCTGTCCCTGCTCCCCCTCAGGCTCCGTCCCTGAGGCGCGTCCCGGCTCCAGACCCTCTGAGGACCTATGAGAACCGGACCAATAGCCTCATGGGGCCTCTCAGCAGACTGCCTCCCAAGAGACTCAGGTACAGAACATAGACCCCAGGTTCCGTGTCACCGGAGAGCAGGAGCTCTGCTGTCCAATTGGTCGAGCCATTATTAGGTGCGTTCACACCGGAGTACTTTGGTGTACTTTTCCCACAATAGTTCATCAGAACTACGATATATTTGCGTTCACACCAAAAAGCCCCAGGAACTAAAGTAGTTCAAATGAGTTCTTCAGACCGGCTTTTCAGTCCCTGCTAGAGAGCAGGGTCTGTCGTGGGAGAAAGTAGTTCGTACGTCTGATTGGCTGTGCGGAATGCAAACCACGCCCGTTTGACTCTGAATTTTTTTTTGGAAGCGGCCATTGTATTTGCTCGTTTACCCGAAGAGATTACTTTTGTGAAAGCAGTTATTATAGCAACACTAAATAAATCATCGGAGCGGTGGAATTGATGAGGATGTCTCGGCGCTTCTGGCGATTTACTCGGAGGACGCGAAGTGCGGCATTCAGAAGCTTCTACTGCATGCAGTTTCAGTGGATCAGCAAAGTTAGCAGACCTGGCAAAGTCATGTCGTGACGACTACGAAGGTAAAATAAAATACATGCACTGCACTGTTTTAATCTGCACAATACTGGTCTTAGATGTACTTTTATTTGCTCAGTAGATCGAGCTAGCCATGCTAGAACTTGCTAACGTTAGGTCCAAGCTGGCTAACAACATCTAGCTAGCTAGCTATTCTCAGCCGTGCCCGCTATGAACACGTTTTGACTTGTGAATAAGTGTGCAATGTTCTGTAATTTGCTTCACTAACTCATGGCACTAATCGTGTGTTTCAGGCGAGGTGTTTCTCTCAGGATTAGAAACTAGTTTTCCCCTCCGGGATAAAACGATAATATAACGTTAGCAATTAGCATGCTAGCTGGACCTCTGTGGCTACACTGAATGCATAGAGGTAAACAATAGATTGTAGTTGCTATAATTTCAAGTAATTTGCAACATTCATTCTACATGTTAATGGTAAAAGCTTAAACAGTTGATTACCTGCATGCCACAAAGACTGATGTTCTAATATTTTTGCACATTTAAGTAGAAATGTAATTGAAATTCTATTTACTGCCTAAACATTGTTCCTTGTATTATCCTAAATAGTTTGACCTTGTTTCCTCAGAAGGCTTCTCAGACTACATGGAGGATCCCTCAGAGAAACACAGTTTCCACGTTCAGTTCCCCCCCGCTGAGAGTAGGCAGCTCCACACCCTGCGCCCGGTCAGCGGACACCATCAGGACTACCATCCTGACCGCTGCTGCCATACTGCAGCAAACAGGAGGGAACGGAGGTGAAAACACACTTTATACATTTAGATATGTGGAGCACAAAGAAAAGCATTGCTAAAAAACATTTAGCAGCTAAACTGTGGATAACAAGTAAACCACATTGGTTTGTTATTCAATATTCAAAAGCTTTTTGAATCATTACATGTCACTTGTTAGACGCTTTTATCCAAAGCTTACATACTCAATACTGTGGGCAATCCCCACAGGAGCACTTTGGGGTGAAGTGTCTCAGGGACACAACGACATGCTGACTGCAGTGGGGTTTGAACCTGTGCTCCCCTGATCCGAACACCAATGCACTTATCCACTGCGCCACACGCCTCCCTATCATGTCCTGAGAGCCCTCCATCCCCCAATTGCTAGTGCCTTCACCATTTAAAATGTTAATAGTCAAATCAAAGGTGTTCCCCGTGTTCCTCCTGTTGTGTGCCTGCAGACACAGATTTGGACAATGTTGTCTCGTTGTTGCGATTAAACTGATCTTGTATCTTACATATTTCACCTTAGGAAAGTGGGCACGCGATGACAGCTTCCTTGACACCATCATGGCGATGGACCGCCGTGCCATGGTCAGCAAGGAGAATGAGGACCTGCGTGCCAAGGAGATGCACGACGAACGGCTGCTGCATTCACACAAGGCCCAGGAATCGAGGTGGAGCAACAAAATACCTTTCAGGCTGGGCTTCTGGCAGTGCTAAGAGAGCTGATTAAATCCAACAGGCCTTCAATACAAAAATTAAGAAAAACTTGTCGTTGATAAACTGTACAATGACTTGTTGGGAGGCGTGTGGTGCAGTGGTATGGTGCGTTGGTGTTCGGATCAGGGGAGCACAGGTTCAAACCCCACTGCAGTCAGGATGTCGTTGTGTCCCTGGGCAAGACACTTCACCCCAAATTGCCTACACAGTTCATTTTGTATTATTGTGATTATATATATATATATGCCACTGTTATTAATACTGACACCTAACTTTGCACTAAGGTGTGTCTGCTGCTGAGCCTACCTATTGTTATTATATATATATATATATATTTATATATATAATGCCACTGTTATTATATTGTTTTGATACTACTGACACTTATTGATCTGCTGCTGATAAATAAAAGAGAACCTACATGCACAGCACTAGCATCATGACTGTCTTTGTTTAAACCAGCAGCAGTGCAGCGGTACACAGACTAACCTGTGTGTGTGTAACGTAGTTCTTCAGGTGTGCATGCTTAACATGTATGTTAACATGTATGTATACAAAAGTTTTTAAAGAGCTTTCAACCTCATCCCATTGTCTTTAACACACATTTAACATAATATACTCATTAATATACAAATATACAGTATGAGTACTGTTTTGATACTGACATTTAATCTTTGCACTAAGGTGTGTCTGCACTATTGTAATTGTGTCTGTTGACTGGTAAATAAAAGAGAGAACCAAATGCACTGTACAAAATATCAGCTTTATTGTCAATTTACAATTTCCATGCTGTTCAGATGCCTCTCCACAACGTTGCTTCCAGGCGAATACAGAGGAGTTGAAAAGAGCCCTTGGACATTCGGTCTTTGATCCACTGCACACGTTGGCACCACCTCCCACCAGGCCGACGTTCTATTGTTCACCCAGAGTTCCGTAGTATTCACATATCTGGAACACATACAAAGACACAAATTAGCCCTACATAACTCCATAAATCCTACATTAGATAGTATTAATGTGATTTAATGAACGTACCATTGCTGTTCTTTGGGCGTGATAACGGCCATCATCCTCGGCTGTCCTACGGCGAAACATGTCCATCGCGTGTGATTTTCGTCGTCCAATCCTTTTGTTAAGGCTTCTTAACCGCCTTCGCCTCCGACTCAGCATTTCTATTGCATTTGAATGGTCGATCTGTATTTGTATTTGTGGCTGAGTTATTGGCTTAAATAACTCCGTTACGAAGCTGTATAACACGAGCACCAAAACGTCAACTCCATACCGTGCCTGAGGTCGGAAGGTAAACAGAAGCATACAGCGGAAGCGGAAGTTTTTTTTCTTCTTCTCTCGGTTTTTTGGCGAATTGCAACTTTAAGGTGCATACCGCCACCTACTGTACTCGCCGTGAAGTTGTTTGCAGCCTGCCAGGAAAACCAAAGAAGAAGAAGAAGTGACGTCAGCGGCTCATTTGCCTAATCCACCCCCAGGAACTCATTTTGGTGTGAACGCGCCTATTGTCTGCGTGGGCTATAATGCTAACAATATATATAAGATAATTAATGCTATTTAAAGCAACTTGTGCACATTTTCCTCACCATGGCAGGTTCTCTATGTTCTCTATGTTCTCCTCTCTTCATGTTCTCCTCTATGTTCTCCTCTATGTTCTCCTCTCCATGTTCTCCTCTATGTTCTCCTCTCTTCATGTTCTCCTCTCTTCATGTTCTCCTCTCTTCATGTTCTCCTATGTTCTCCTCTATGTTCTCCTCTATGTTCCCTCTATGTTCTCCTCTCTTCATGTTCTCCTCTATGTTCTCCTCTCTCATGTTCTCCTCTATGTTTCTCCTCTATGTTCTCCTCTATGTTCTCCTCTCTTCATGTCTCCTCTTTCCCTCTAGTTCTCCTCCCGTTCTCCCTCTTCATGTTCTCTCTATGTTTCGCCTCTCTTCTGTCTCCTCATGTTCTCCTCTATGTCTTCTCCTCTGTATGTTCCTCCTCTCTTCAGTTCTCCTCTTATGTTCCCTCTTCTCCTCTCTTATGTTCTACTCCTTCATTTCTCCCTATGTTTCCCTCTATGTCTCTCTCTTCATGTTCTCCTCTATGTTCCCCTACTATGTTCTCCTCTCTTCAGGTTTCTCCTCTATGTTCTCCTCTCTTCATGTTCTCCTCTATGTTCTCCTCTATGTTCTCCTCTATGTTCTCCTCTCTTCATGTTCTCCTCTATGTTCCCCTCTATGTTCTCCTCTCTTCATGTTCCCCTCTATGTTCTCCTCTCTTCATGTTCTCCTCTATGTTCTCCTCTCTTCATGTTCTCCTCTATGTTCTCCTCTATGTTCTCCTCTATGTTCTCCTCTCTTCATGTTCTCCTCTATGTTCCCCTCTATGTTCTCCTCTCTTCATGTTCTCCTCTATGTTCTCCTCTCTTCATGTTCTCCTCTATGTTCCTCTCTTCATGTTCTCCTCTATGTTCTCCTCTATGTTCCCCTCTATGTTCTCCTCTCTTCATGTTCTCCTCTATGTTCCCCTCTATGTTCTCCTCTCTTCATGTTCTCCTCTATGTTCTCCTCTCCTTCAGCGATGTCCCTGAAGAGACGTCCTCTTCGACCCCAACAGAACAAACTTCTGCCTGCAGGGCATCGTTCTGCAGGGGAGACACTTCCAGCACGCCCAGATGCCCTCTGGGGGACGGAGACCAGGCCAGAGGTGAGTCCTCTCATACGTCCTCATGTCTCTCTCATCACACAGTATGTCCTCATGTCTCTCTCATCACACAGTGTGTCCTTCTGTCTCTCTCATCACACAGTATGTCCTCATGTCTCTCTCATCACACAGTGTGTCCTTCTGTCTCTCTCATCACACAGTATGTCCTTTCTGTCTCTCTCATCACAGCAGGTATTGTCCTTCTGTCTCTCTCATCACACAGTATGTCCTTCTGTCCTCTCATTCATACACAAGTATGTCCTTCTGTCTCTCTCATCACACAGTATGTCCTTCTGTCTCTCTCATCAACACTAGCTTATGTCTCTCTCACACACAGTAGTCCTTCATGTCTCTCTCATCACACAGTATGTCCTTATGTCTCTCTCATCACACAGTATGTCCTTCTGTCTCTCTCATCACACAGTATGTCCTTCTGTCTCTCTCATCACACAGTATGTCCTTCTGTCTCTCTCATCACACAGTATGTCCTTCTGTCTCTCTCATCACACAGTATGTCCTTATGTCTCTCTCATCACACAGTATGTCCTCATGTCTCTCTCATCACACAGTATGTCCTTCTGTCTCTCTCATCACACAGTACGTCCTTCTGTCTCTCTCATCACACAGTACGTCCTTCTGTCTCTCTCATCACACAGTATGTCCTTCTGTCCTCTCTCACACAGTATGTCCTTATGTCTCTCTCATCACACAGTACGTCCTTCTGTCTCTCTCATCACACAGTACGTCCTTCTGTCTCTCTCACACACAGTATATATGTCCTTCTGTCTCTCTCATCACAGTATACGTCCTTCTGTCTCTCTCATCACACAGTATATACGTCCTTATGTCTCTCTCATCACACAGTACGTCCTTCTGTCTCTCTCATCACACAGTATATATGTCCTTCTGTCTCTCTCATCTTTAAGTGAATGGTAGACTTTAATAAAATGAATTATTGAGACATCTCTATTCTTGATTTATTTTCACGCAGCCTTGATTTAAAGGAAAGGTAAGACTCTCGTACTCAGAGTATATCTTTAGACTCATTTCACGCCCTTTGTCCTCTAAATATCATATATTTCCTGATCTGTTTGTCCCTGCAGACACACTGTAAGACTTTCTGTTAACGTGTGGTTTCCTTTCACGATAAGTGCTTTCTGCTGCTATAGCAGAGAGTACGTAGAGCCAGGTGCTTCCTCCTCTACTGCTGCTATAGCAGAGTGTACGTAGAGCCAGGTGCTTCCTCTACTGCTGCTGCTATAGCAGAGTGTACGTAGAGCCAGGTGCTTCCTCCTCTGCTCCTATAGCAGAGTGTACGTAGAGCCAGGTGCTTCCTCCTCTGCTGCTGCTATAGCAGAGTGTACGTAGAGCCAGGTGCTTCCTCCTCTACTGCTCCTATAGCAGAGAGTACGTAGAGCCAGGTGCTTCCTCCTCTACTGCTGCTATAGCAGAGTGTACGTAGAGCCAGGTGCTTCCTCTACTGCTGCTATAGCAGAGAGTACGTAGAGCCAGGTGCTTCCTCTACTGCTGCTATAGCAGAGAGTACGTAGAGCCAGGTGCTTCCTCCTCTGCTGCTGCTATAGCAGAGAGTACGTAGAGCCAGGTGCTTCCTCTGCTGCTGCTATAGCAGAGAGTACGTAGAGCCAGGTGCTTCCTCTACTGCTGCTATAGCAGAGAGTACGTAGAGCCAGGTGCTTCCTCCTCTACTGCTGCTATAGCAGAGAGTACGTAGAGCCAGGTGCTTCATGCCTTCACCTACCTCCTACTCTACTGCTCCTATAGCAGAGAGTACGTAGAGCCAGGTGCTTCCTCCTCTACTGTTGCTATAGCAGAGAGTACGTAGAGCCAGGTGCTTCCTCCTCTACTGCTGCTATAGCAGAGAGTACGTAGAGCCAGGTGCTTCCTCCTCTACTGCTGCTATAGCAGAGTGTACGTAGAGCCAGGTGCTTCCCCTCTGCTCCTATAGCAGAGAGTACGTAGAGCCAGGTGCTTCCTCCTCTACTGCTGTCTATAGCAGAGTGTACGTAGAGCCAGGTGCTTCTCCTCTACTGCTGCTATAGAGAGTGTACGTAAGAGCCCAGGTGCTTCCTCCTCTACTGCGGCTATAGCATAGAGTACGTAGAGCCAGGTGCTCCGCCTCCTCTACTGCTGCTATAGCAGAGAGTAATGTAGAGCCAGGTGCTTCCTCCTCTACTGCTGCTATAGCAGAGTGTACGTAGAGCCAGGTGCTTCCTCCTCTGCTCCTATAGCAGAGAGTACGTAGAGCCAGGTGCTTCCTCCTCTGCTGCTATAGCAGAGAGTACGTAGAGCCAGGTGCTTCCTCTACTGCTGCTATAGCAGAGTGTACGTAGAGCCAGGTGCTTCCTCTCCTCTACTTGCTGCTATAGCAGAGAGTATGTAGAGCCAGGTGCTTCCTCCTCTACTGCTGCTATAGCAGAGTGTACGTAGAGCCAGGTGCTTCCTCCTCTGCTCCTATAGCAGAGAGTACGTAGAGCTAGGTGCTTCCTCCTCTACTGCTGCTATAGCAGAGAGTACGTAGAGCCAGGTGCTTCCTCTACTGCTCCTATAGCAGAGAGTACGTAGAGCCAGGTGCTTCCTCTACTGCTGCTATAGCAGAGAGTACGTAGAGCCAGGTGCTTCCTCTACTGCTGCTATAGCAGAGTGTACGTAGAGCCAGGTGCTTCCTCCTCTACTGCTGCTATAGCAGAGAGTATGTAGAGCCAGGTGCTTCCTCCTCTACTGCTGCTATAGCAGAGTGTACGTAGAGCCAGGTGCTTCCTCCTCTGCTGCTATAGCAGAGTGTACGTAGAGCCAGGTGCTTCCTCCTCTACTGCTGCTATAGCAGAGTGTACGTAGAGCCAGGTGCTTCCTCGCTCTACTGCTGCTATAGCAGAGAGTATGCTAGAGCCAGGTGCTTCTCCTCTGCTGCTGCTATAGCAGAGAGTACGTAGAGCCAGGTGCTGTTCCTCTCCTCTGCTGCTGCTATAGCAGAGTGTACGTAGAGCCAGGTGCTTCCTCCTCTGCTGCTGCTATAGCAGAGAGTATGTAGAAGCCAGGTGCTTCCTCCTCTACTGCTGCTATAGCAGAGTGTACGTAGAGCCATGGTGCTTCCTCCGCTGCTCTATAGCAGAGAGTACGTAGAGCCAGGTGCTTCCTCCTCTGCTGCTATAGCAGAGAGTATGTAGAGCCAGGTGCTTCCTCCTCTACTTGCTGCTATAGCAGAGTGTACGTAGAGCCAGGTTGCTTCCTCCTCTGGCTCCTATCGCAGAGAGTACGTAGAGCCAGGTGCTTCCTCCTCTGCTGCTATAGCAGAGAGTACGTAGAGCCAGGTGCTTCCTCTACTGCTGCTATAGCAGAGTGTACGTAGAGCCAGGTGCTTCCTCCTCTACTGCTGCTATAGCAGAGAGTATGTAGAGCCAGGTGCTTCCTCCTCTACTGCTGCTATAGCAGAGTGTACGTAGAGCCAGGTGCTTCCTCCTCTGCTCCTATAGCAGAGAGTACGTAGAGCTAGGTGCTTCCTCCTCTACTGCTGCTATAGCAGAGAGTACGTAGAGCCAGGTGCTTCCTCTACTGCTCCTATAGCAGAAGAGTACGTAGAGCCAGGTGCTTCCTCTACTGCTGCTATAGCAGAGAGTACGTAGAGCCAGGTGCTTCCTCTACTGCTGCTATAGCAGAGTGTACGTAGAGCCAGGGGCTTCCTCCTCTACTGCTGCTATAGCAGAGAGTATGTAGAGCCAGGTGCTTCCTCCTCTACTGCTGCTATAGCAGAGTGTACGTAGAGCCAGGTGCTTCCTCCTCTGCTGCTATAGCAGAGTGTACGTAGAGCCAGGTGCTTCCTCCTCTACTGCTGCTATAGCAGAGTGTACGTAGAGCCAGGTGCTTCCTCCTCTACTGCTGCTATAGCAGAGTGTACGTAGAGCCAGGTGCTTCCTCCTCTGCTGCTGCTATAGCAGAGAGTACGTAGAGCCAGGTGCTTCCTCCTCTGCTGCTGCTATAGCAGAGTGTACGTAGAGCCAGGTGCTTCCTCCTCTGCTGCTGCTATAGCAGAGAGTACGCAGAGCCAGGTGCTTCCTCCTCTGCTGCTGCTATAGCAGAGTGTACGTAGAGCCAGGTGCTTCCTCCTCTGCTGCTGCTATAGCAGAGTGTACGTAGAGCCAGGTGCTTCCTCCTCTGCTGCTGCTATAGCAGAGTGTACGTAGAGCCAGGTGCTTCCTCCTCTGCTGCTCCTATAGCAGAGTGTACGTAGAGCCAGGTGCTTCCTCCTCTGCTGCTGCTATAGCAGAGTGTACGTAGAGCCAGGTGCTTCCTCTACTGCTGCTGCTATAGCAGAGTGTACGTAGAGCCAGGTGCTTCCTCTACTGCTGCTGCTATAGCAGAGTGTACGTAGAGCCAGGTGCTTCCTCCTCTGCTGCTCCTATAGCAGAGAGTACGCAGAGCCAGGTGCTTCCTCCTCTGCTGCTGCTATAGCAGAGAGTACGCAGAGCCAGGTGCTTCCTCCTCTACTGCTGCTATAGCAGAGAGTACGCAGAGCCAGGTGCTTCCTCCTCTGCTGCTGCTATAGCAGAGTGTACGTAGAGCCAGGTGCTTCCTCCTCTGCTGCTATAGCAGAGTGTACGTAGAGCCAGGTGCTTCCTCCTCTGCTGCTATAGCAGAGTGTACGTAGAGCCAGGTGCTTCCTCCTCTGCTGCTGCTATAGCAGAGTGTACGTAGAGCCAGGTGCTTCCTCTACTGCTGCTGCTATAGCAGAGAGTACGTAGAGCCAGGTGCTTCCTCCTCTGCTGCTGCTATATGCTATAGCAGAGAGTACGTAGAGCCAGGTGCTTCCTCTGCTGCTGCTATAGCAGAGAGTACGTAGAGCCAGGTGCTTCCTCTACTGCTGCTATAGCAGAGAGTACGTAGAGCCAGGTGCTTCCTCCTCTACTGCTGCTATAGCAGAGAGTACGTAGAGCCAGGTGCTTCCTCCTCTGCTGCTATAGCAGAGTGTACGTAGAGCCAGGTGCTTCCTCCTCTGCTGCTATAGCAGAGTGTACGTAGAGCCAGGTGCTTCCTCCTCTGCTGCTATAGCAGAGTGTACGTAGAGCCAGGTGCTTTCCTCCTCTACTGCTGCTATAGCAGAGTGTACGTAGAGCCAGGTGCTTCCTCCTCTCTGCTGCTATAGCAGAGTGTACGTAGAGCCAGGTGCTTTCCTCCTCTGTCTGCTGCTATAGCAGAGTAGGTAGAGCCGGTGCTTCCTCCTCTATGCTGCTATAGCAGAGTGTACGTATAGCAGGTGCTTCCTCCTCTACTGCTGCTATCAGAGGTACGTAGAAGCCGGTGCTTCCTCCTCTACTGCTGCTATAGCAGAGTACTAGAGCCATGCTTCTCCTCTACTGCTGCTATAGCAGAGTGTACTAGAGCCAGGTGCTTCCTCCTCTACTGCTGCTATAGCAGAGTGTACTAGACCAGGTGCTTCCTCCTCTACTGCTGCTATAGCAGAGTGTACGTAGAGCCAGGTGCTTCCTCCTCTACTCTGCTGCTATACAGAGTGTCGAGCCAGGTGCTTCCTCCTCTCTACTGCTGCTATAGCAGAGAGTACGTAGAGCCAGGTGCTTCTCCTCCTCTGCTGCTGCTATGCAGAGAGTACGTAGATCCAGTGCTTCCTCCTCTGCTGCTGCTATAGCAGAGTGTACGTAGAGCCAGGTTGCTTCCTCCTCTGCTGCTGCTATAGCAGAGAGTACGTAGAGCCAGGTGCTTTCCTCCTCTTACTGCGCTGCTATAGCAGAGAGTACGTAGAGCCAGGTGCTTCCTCCTCTGCTGCTGCTATAGCAGAGTGGTACTAGAGCCATGTGCTTCCTCCTCTGCTGCTCTGCTATAGCAGGTGTACGTAGAGCCAGGTGCTTCCCTCCTCTGCTTCGCTGCTATCGCAGAGTGTACGTAGAGCCAGGTGCTTCCTCCTCTGTGCTGCTGCTATAGCAGAGAGTAAGCAGAGCCAGGTGCTTCCTCCTCTGCTGCTGCTATCAGAGTGATTGTAGACGCCAGGTGCTTCCTCCTCTGCTGCTGCTATAGCAGAGTGTACGTAGAGCCAGGTGCTTCCTCCTCTGCTGCTGCTATAGCAGAGAGTACTTAGAGCCAGGTGCTTCCTCCTCTGCTGCTGCTATAGCAGAGTGTACGTAGAGCCGTGCTTGTCCTCCTCTGCTGCTCTATAGCAGAGAGTACGTAGAGCCAGGTGCTTCCTCCTCTGTCTGCTATAGCAGAGTGTACAGTGCCAGGTGCTTCCTCCTCTGCTGCTGCTATAGCAGAGAGTACGTAGAGCCAGGTGCTTCCTCCTCTACTGCTGCTATAGCAGAGTACGTAGAGCCAGGTGCTTCCTCCTCTACTGCTGCTATAGCAGAGTGTACGTAGAGCCAGGTGCTTCCTCCTCTACTGCTGCTATAGCAGAGAGTACGTAGAGCCAGGTGCTTCCTCCTCTACTGCTGCTATAGCAGAGAGTATGTAGAGCCAGGTGCTTCCTCCTCTACTGCTGCTATAGCAGAGAGTACGTAGAGCCAGGTGCTTCTTTCATCTCCATGTTTTCTGCCCACATTTCTTAGTTTCTTTTGAGAGATGTCAAGTCTTACGCCATTTAATTCCACGAAGCCTTGTGCATATTTTTCCTATTTATTCAAATGTCTAATTTGAGTATAAACCCCTGGAGATGCAGCATGTCTCCTTCAAGGCATGCACAATAATCAAAGAAATTAACAGACATTTAAAGGATATCAATAAACAATATATTTAACAATTCAAACATCTTGAAAGCTCCTGGAAGTTACACTTTTCCCCATCACCTTGCATCGAGCCAACGTCCTGGTTTTAATTCTGATTACCTGTTTACACGGCGGTTTCTCTGACCATATCGTCTTTTTTCTCCTGCAGAAACGACTTCTCCACCACACCGCAGGGGGTCGAAGTGGACAGCATCGTGCTCACCTGTCCAGAGATCTCAGGTACAATCATTTCAACTATTCTCAAGCATTTATCTTATTTAACTAGCTTTATTTACCAGCTCGGAGATAAGCAGATTTTAGTCAAGTTTGTCTCAAAATCTCTCAATCTTTATTTGTTTATGTAACACATTTAAAACTACCTCAGTTGACCAAAGTGCTGAACAGGAAACAAATACAATATTAAAAATAACACTATGGGAGTAAAATAACATTACAATAGGTGTGTGTGTGTGTGTGTGTGTGTGTGTGTGTGTGTGTGTGTGTGTGTGTGTGTGTGTGTGTTGTGTGTGTGTGTGTGTGTGTGTGTGTGTGTGTGTGTGTGTGTGTGTGTGTGTGTGTGTGTGTGTGTGTGTGTGTGTGTGTGTGTGTGTGTGTGTGTGTGTGGTGTGTGTTGTGTGTGTGTGTGTGTGTGTGTTGTGTGTGTGTGTGTGTGTGTGTGTGTGTGTGTGTGTGTGTGTGTGTCCTTTCAGACGAGGATCAGCTGAATGTGAAGCGACGTGTTCAGCAGCAGAAGAGGAAACCGCTGGAGGATTTCTGCTCCTTCCCCTCGCAGGTCAAAGCAGCAGAGGTAAGGACTACATTACCCAGAAACCCCTCTGCTGAACACCTATAGATGAGAGCAACGCTACGGCACTTTGTGGCAAAATTAAGCCCACTTTCCGGTGAAAACAAAGCGTTAGCGTCAAGCGGAAAAATGCTGATTTTCCCGTAACATTTTAAAGTGATGCAAGAAAACAATATTTATGTTCGTTCTCTTCTATCTATCCATCTATCTATCTACCATAACATATCTATCTACCTACCATAATATATCTACCTATCTATAAACATATACCTATCTAAACATCTACCTACCATAATATATCTATCTAATGTGTTTGAATCCCCCTCTAGTCCAAGCCCCCCCTGCAGCCTCTTTGCCCCACGGTGTACCACACGGTGTGCATGAAGTGTAAAAAGCCCAGTGAGGACGTCAGCATGTGTGTGACCTGTGGCAATGGAGCGGCGCTGCTTTCCTCCGTAACCCCGCGACCCCCCCTCAGGTCCTCCTCTGGACAAATCAGCTTGCAGCAGAGCTTCTACAGACCCGCCTCCACCCTGAGGAGCTCCAGAGGATCGCTGCTGCCTCTGAGCAACAGTAACGGTCTCTCAGCGGGGGGCTCGGGGTACCAAGGAGCCAGAAACCCTCCCAAAGGGAAAGAGGGCGGCAGCGGCACATCGGCACGAACTCAACGACCCCAGTGAGTACTTTAGAGAAGTGGTAGCTAACCTTTTTATGAGCCACGGTACATTTTTTTAATTTAAAGAGTCCTCTCCTGCTGATGTTCAGGTGTATATCAGTATGTAGTGTCTCTACTTTAAAGAGTCCTCTCCTGCTGATGTTCAGGTGTATATCGGTATGTAGTGTCTCTACTTTAAAGAGTCCTCTCCTGCTGATGTTCAGGTGTATATCAGTATGTAGTGTCTCTACTTTAAAGAGTCCTCTCCTGCTGATGTTCAGGTGTATATCAGTATGTAGTGTCTCTACTTTAAAGAGTCCTCTCCTGCTGATGTTCAGGTGTATATCAGTATGTAGTGTCTCTACTTTAAAGAGTCCTCTCCTGCTGATGTTCAGGTGTATATCAGTATGTAGTGTCTCTACTTTAAAGAGTCCTCTCCTGCTGATGTTCAGGTGTATATCAGTATGTAGTGTCCTCTACTTTAAAGAGTCCTCTCCTGCTGATGTTCAGGTGTATATCAGTATGTAGTGTCTCTACTTTAAAGAGTCCTCTCCTGCTGATGTTCAGGTGTATATCAGTATGTAGTGTCTCTACTTTAAAGAGTCCTCTCCTGCTGATGTTCTGGTGTATATCAGTATGTAGTGGTTTCTACTTTAAAGAGTCCCTCTCCTGCTGATGTTCAGGTGTATATCAGTATGTAGTGTCTCTACTTTAAAGAGTCCTCTCCTGCTGATGTTCTGGTGTATATCAGTATGTAGTGTCTCTACTTTAAAGAGTCCCTCTCCTGCTGATGTTCAGGTGTATATCAGTATGTAGTGTCTCTACTTTAAAGAGTCCTCTCCTGCTGATGTTCAGGTGTATATCAGTATGTAGTGTCTCTACTTTAAAGAGTCCTCTCCTGCTGATGTTCAGGTGTATATCAGTATGTAGTGTCTCTACTTTAAAGAGTCCTCTCCTGCTGATGTTCAGGTGTATATCAGTATGTAGTGTCTCTACTTTAAAGAGTCCTCTCCTGCTGATGTTCAGGTGTATATCAGTATGTAGTGTCTCTACTTTAAAGAGTCCCTCTCCTGCTGATGTTCAGGTGTATATCAGTATGTAGTGTCTCTACTTTAAAGAGTCCTCTCCTGCTGATGTTCAGGTGTATATCAGTATGTAGTGTCTCTACTTTAAAGAGTCCTCTCTCCTCCCCAGTTGTTCTGTCCAGTGATGAAGAGGAGGAGGCTGATAATGCCAGTACAGGAAGTGTGAGCCGATTGGACAGCGTTTCTCCTCGCCCCGCTGACTCCGCCCACTCCTCTCCGGCGCCCTCTGGTGGTCGAGTGGAGGCGGCGGTGAAAAGTGCCGGAGAGGAGGAGGAAATTAACGCCGACTTTTTTGAAGACGTCAACATGAAGGTCACGATACCGAGAAGATCCCGGATGAAAGACCAGGTGAGGAGCGGAGACGTTAGGAAGTTAGGGAATTAAATATATTTTTTCTAATTTAAATATAAGAAATGTAAGTGTTCTTATAATCTTCCTTAAAGTCATTTATTTTTATGAATTTATTTATTACTTAAATGATTGTTATATATACATGTATATAAAATAATAATTAGAAACAAGGTATCTATTTAATTTATTTCTACACATTAATTCATGAATAACGTAAATAATAATTATGTTTATGAAATAATTATAATACATTTATTTTCATTTATTGCTTAAGTAATATATTTAATATTTTAATACATATAATAAATACAAAAACATAGTCAAAATGTATAATAATTATTACATTAACAACAAGAATGTTGAAATTCGTAAAGCAACAATTCACTTTCTAACACTTTACTTGTGTAATATCTAGGGATGGGTATCGTTAAGGTTTTTATCGGTACTACTACTCTTAAAAATGTGTGTGCGCGCCGCTGCAGCGTGTCTGTTAGGCTCCGCCCCCCGCACACAGAGAGAGAGTGAGGCCCCGCCCCCGCACACAGAGAGAGAGTGAGGCCCCGCCCCCGCACACAGAGAGAGAGTGAGGCCCCGCCCCCCGCACACAGAGAGAGTGAGGCCCCGCCCCCGCACACAGAGAGAGAGTGAGGCCCCGCCCCCCGCACACAGAGAGAGAGTGAGGCCCCGCCCCCCGCACACACGGAGAGAGTGAGGCCCCGCCCCCCGCACACACAGAGAGAGTGAGGCCCCGCCCCCCGCACACAGAGAGAGAGTGAGGCCCCGCCCCCCGCACACACGGAGAGTGAGGCCCCGCCCCCCGCAGACAGAGAGAGAGTGAGGCCCCGCCCCCCGCAGACAGAGAGAGAGTGAGGCCCCGCCCCCCACACACACAGAGAGAGTGAGGCCCCGCCCCCCCGCACACAGAGAGAGAGTGAGGCCCCGCCCCCCCGCACACAGAGAGAGAGTGAGGCCCCGCCCCCCGCACACACGGAGAGAGTGAGGCCCCGCCCCCCCGCAGACAGAGAGAGAGTGAGGCCCCGCCCCCCGCACACAGAGAGAGAGTGAGGCCCCGCCCCCCGCACACAGGGAGAGAGTGAGGCCCCGCCCCCCGCACACAGGGGGAGAGAGTGAGGCCCCCCCCCCCCCCACACTCAGGGAGAGAGTGAGGCCCCGCCCCCCGCACACAGAGAGAGAGTGAGGCCCCGCCCCCCGCACACAGGGAGAGAGTGAGGCCCCGCCCCCCCGCACACAGGGAGAGAGTGAGGCCCCGCCCCCCCACACTCAGGGAGAGAGTGAGGCCCCGCCCCCCGCACACAGAGAGAGAGTGAGGCCCCGCCCCCCCGCACACAGAGAGAGAGTGAGGCCCCGCCCCCCCGCACACAGAGAGAGAGTGAGGCCCCGCCCCCCCACACTCAGGGAGAGAGAGGCCCCGCCCCCCGCACACAGAGAGAGAGAGAGGCCCCGCCCCCCCGCACACAGAGAGAGAGAGGCCCCGCCCCCCGCACACAGAGAGAGAGAGGCCCCGCCCCCCCCACACTCAGGGAGAGAGAGGCCCCGCCCCCGCACACAGAGAGAGAGAGAGGCCCCGCCCCCCCGCACACAGAGAGAGTGAGGCCCCGCCCCCCGCACACAGAGAGAGAGTGAGGCCCCGCCCCCCCGCACACAGAGAGAGAGTGAGGCCCCGCCCCCTGCACACAGAGAGAGAGTGAGGCCCCCGCCCCCCCCGCACACAGAGAGAGAGAGGCCCCGCCCCCGCACACAGAGAGAGAGAGAGGCCCCCGCCCCCCCACACTCAGGGAGATCGCTCTTCTGGAGTGAAGAGAGTGGAAATAATGATATTGCAAGTTAGAACCGTAAGATGCATTTTGACGGACGAGACGGACCCTGCATTTTGAATGTCCGATACTCCACCATTAACACCTTAGTCTCGTCTCGTCAACGAAAACTAAATATACATTTCGTCATAGTTTTTATTATCAAGAATCTATTTTTAGCTCGTCATCGTCTCGTCTTAGTCGTGCAAAAAAGGTCGTTGACGAACATTTCTCGTCACAGTTCTCTAATGTTTACATATTCATTATTTTATTTTGCAGTTTGGGAACCAACCCCCCGAGCAGTTTTCCCCGAGGACGAAGAAACCCAAACTCTCTCCTGATACATGTGACAGCATCATCCTGGAGTGTCGCAGCGTGCGGATAGGAACTCTGCGCCGCATGGTGACCAAGCCCGTCGTCGTGAGTAATCCCATTACTTTTTTAATATTTCCTCCAGACTCTGCTCAGCCTAATCTGGGCCAGGGGTGCCTCATACAGAAAAACATACGAAGGGCTGGGCCGCTCACTGGAGGTATATCGCCTCATAGGTTCAGTTATAAGTTGGAAAAGTCAATCCAATGTAGGGAAATGACTTCATCACAGCTCTCCAGAGGGTTTACTTTCTTCTGTTGGCAGCTCATTCCTTAAAACAGAAACTTCAGCCTGATTATAATAAGAGGAAATAGAGCGGTGCAGGGATGACGTATTCACCCTGAAGGAAGCTGCTGGTTCCCTCGACTAAAAGCAACAGGGTTTCTCCAGAGGATTTAGGAAAAGAGCTGGAAATAAGATCTGTGGAAAACGAACCTGTTTGATAAATGCACGTTTTGTTCAGTCTGATAATCTCCACATGTCCCTACTTTTATAATGTTCGAATCATAAATCTAATGTCCAGAAGCAAAATGCTAACGTGATGCTATAAAGGAACTACAGGCGAGTCCAGCAGCACGACTTCAACGTCACGCCAACTTCAGATCCATATCCAAACACACAGATTCTAAATGGTACGAGTTGAAGCGTTTGTTTGAACAGTTTGCAGGAGGCAGGTACTTGCTTTCAAGCAGAACAGGGCTAACTAACTTAGAGGAGTGTTTACGTGTTCGGCGTAATGACGTACAACGGCCTCCACGACTTCTGTAGTCCTATTCAGCCACTTGGTAACAACCATCGTTTTTCAGACACGTCAACTCTTCAGAAATCACCAGTGGGGTCACTGCTGATGGATTTAATGTCCTAGAACAAAACGTGATCCGTCTCTTCAAAGTGTCTCAACCACAGACCTTATTTCAGATATTTTCCAAAATCCTATGGAGAGATCCCATTGGCTCTGAGACGAGGGAACAGGAAGTGGTGAAATGCTGACTCACTTCCGTGTTTTAGGACTCATTCCTGCACCACTCTATATGAAGGGTTTATTTCAAGGTTGTTATGGAAATAAGTTATTGGGCTTTTTTCTTATCAACTTAGATTTGTTAGAAAATGTTTTCAACTTTAATTGAATGAATTTATTTTAAAAGTAGGCTTATGAATACTACTCTGTAATATATTTTTACATATATATTTAAGAAGTACAATATAAGACAAGCTCAAGTTTCATCTGTGGGCCGTATTCCATTATACTTATTTTAATTTGCTGAGCGCCGATTGAATGGTCCGCGGGCCGTAGTTTGGACACCCCTGATCTAGGCACCTTGAGGCCCAAATCGATTACATTTTTTGATTTGATTTATTTCGAACGTGTAAAACAATAATACAAAAAAATAATAATGAAATGAAACATGAGAATTATGATACTATACAAACTCAAGCAGTGTTAAAATGCATATACAAAAATATGACAGATTCTAAATTATATATAAACAAATTATCTAATTACACATCGGAAAAGGGGTGAGAAGAAGTTTACACTTATTTAATCCCACCCAAAAACTAAATTATTAATATATATATATTTTTATATATATTTTTTTTTTCTATTTTTTCGTCCGCCACATTAAGGGCTGTTCTAATCCATCGAAGTCGCTGCAGGTCGTTACACAAAGCCCTAATGATGGTTTAAGCAGCACTTAATGGTTTATTTCTGCTACCCTATGAACCTTGTCTTGGCCCGCACGGTTTTACGTCCTCAGAGTTAAACCTGGAGAAGCAGCGTTCTGTGTTTTGAGTCCAAGTTAACGTTTTATTAGTGGAATGAAAAATGACTTTTTTCTTTTTGTCTTTTCAGTTTTCCATCGACCAGATCCAGCTGGAGACTGAAGGTAGGAGAGAAGCAGCTTTTACTTTTCAGCTTAAATCACAGTTTTTTTTACTCTTCTCTTAAGTATACACACAAACATTCACACAGAAATACAAATTAAACAATGTTATTAAATGTTATTTTGTGCGTGTGTGTGTCTGTTCGTGTGTGTGTGTGCGCGTTCGTGTGTGATCGTGTGCGTGTGTTCCTGTGTGTGTGTGTGTGTTCGTGTGCGTGTGTGTGTGTGTGTCTGTTCTTGTGTGTGTTCCTGTGTGTGTGTTCGTGTGCGTGTGTTCTTGTGTGTCTGTGTGTGTGTGTTCCTGTGTGTGTTCCCCTGTGTGTGTGTGTGTGTGTGTGTTCCTCTGTGTGTGTGTGTGTGTGTGTGTTCCTCTGTATGTCTGTGTGATCGTGTTTGTGTGTTCCTGTGTCTTCATGTGTGTGTGTGTTCCTGTGTCTTCATGTGTGTGTGTGTTCCTGTGTCTTCATGTGTGTGTGTGTGTGTGTGTGTGTGTGTGATCCTGTGTCTTCATGTGTGTGTGTGTTCCTGTGTCTTCATGTGTGTGTTCCTGTGTGTGTGTGTTCAGGTCCGGAGTGTAACGGGGTGGAGAACGTGTATTTCCGAGCGTCGGAGCTCATCAGCTGTGAGTGGTGCAAAATCCGGAAACTCCCTGTCCTTTTCTTCCAGACGACGGCAGACGAGTGTTTTCGACTTCGATCACAACTCAACATGAACGAGGAAAAGACGGGAGAATGGTACGACTGTACCGGAGACCGTGAGTACACAAATACTGTTCAAATAATATACACCTGTACACCTGTATGTAGAGTGTTACCTCTGGATTAATGATAGAGACAGATAAATGTATCTATCTATCATTAATCCAGAGATCGTGTGTGTGTGTGTGTGTGTGTGTGTGTGTGTGTGTGTGTGTGTGTGTGTGTGTGTGTGTGTGTGTGTGTGTGTGTGTGTGTGGTGTGTGTGTGTGTGTGTGTGTGGTGTGTGTGTGTGTGTGTGTGTGGTGTGTGTGTGTGTGTGTGTGTGTGTGTGTGGTGTGTGTGTGTGGTGTGTGTGTGTGTGTGTGTGTGTGATCGTGTGTGTATGAGCGAGGAGAAGGGGGGAAATGGTAAGAAGAAGAAGAACCTTTATTCATCTCCCCTCACACTATATTTCTCTAGAAAACCCCCAGATTTTAGTAGAATGTGTTCCAGTGACCTATTTATAATTAAAAGACACTTATGATACATTTCAACCTCACTTTAAGGTTAATTAGTGTCCCTAAAGGCCCAGACACACCGAGCCGATTTTCGGCGTCGATAGATGTCGGGCCGTCGATGAGCGTCCTGTCGCCCTACTCAGATTGGTGTGTCCCGCACCGTCGTGTCTTTTCGGCCGTGCCGACACCTTCCTCCGCCAATTCGACATGTTGAATCGGGAGGCTGTCGGCCTAAGGCTGTCGGCAAAATAAATCACTCTGATTGGCTGTTCAGCTAGCGAATCAGTGCATGAGAAGCGAAACGGAAGTGAGGGACCCAAACAAACGATTAAGAAGGCAAATCTGAGATTTCCTTTAACTCCAGCTCTCGACACAGGTTGGGGAAAGCCCCGTGAGCTTCTCGCTGCAGAGTGAACATGGAACGCACGCTATTTGTTGTTTGTTTATATCACGCAGTCTGTTCTTCTTCTCTCGGTTATCACGCAGTCTGTCTTCCGGTTGTTGCCTCTTTTGAATGACGAATACACACTATCGCCGCCTGCTGGTAAGGAGAGTTATTGCCACTCACGCATGCGCAGTTCGTACGTGCTTCTTGGCCGTCGGCTGAAGTCTTTGCGGTGTGTTCCAGTGCGACACATGGCCAAGACGCAGAGACGTGAGGCGACACAACAGTCGGGTCGGGACGTGTTCTTTGGTGTCAGTTTGGTGTGTCTGGGCCTTAAAATGTTCCCTGGTTTCCTTCAGAGTCGGACGAGAAGTTCATCGTCCTGATCTTCGAGAACGGCCTGGTGTCGAAGGAGCAGAACTTCCTGGACGAGATCCTGCGAGAGATCGGGAGGAAAAACAATCTCAGCGACTTCCCGTCAGATCTGCCCTTCGAGGAGGCCAACATCCGGCTGGTGAACTACAACAAGGCGTCCAAACAGAAGGAGGACAAGGTGCGTTCAGGGACACGTCACACGGGAAATAACAAAGATTTACAGTTTAAAATTACGATAGATAATGAATCATTTTATTTAAACAATAAACAGCTATATTTTTAATTACTAAATAACAAAAACCCTTATACAGTTCCAACAAAGATAAAACACAGCAAAGAATATATATATATTTTATTTTTCTTTGTGTAATATTTGGTTTTTTATTAAAGAGCAGATATAATAAAACAGTGGTTCAAATGAAGCACTGTTTTTTCTTCCATTTTTTAAATATATATATATCTTTTTTTTAAGTGAAATTAGTAATTAATGTTTAAAAGTGTTATTTTAATTTCCCCCTCTCTGCAGGAGAAGCCGTTGCAAACCTCGCAGGGATCCCCTGTAACCAATGTAACGCCGCTGAGCCCGGTCGCCATGGCAACACGCACACGCATGTCTACCCGGCAACACAGCAGCTACTTCGAGGACGAAGAGGAGGAAATGACCGACCTCCAGCACACCTTCTCCGGACCAATCATCAAGTGAGGGTTCATACTCTGCTGGAGTTTTATAAACTAATATAGAACTGTTTATACGGGAAATGTAACACTTTCTTTTGTGCTTGAGGTTAAAGTTAGTGGTCCAAAAGGAATCAAAATAGTAGTTTTGTAGTCAAGACCACCTTCACCGAGACCAAGTAATGACCAAGACTTTAGGGGGCGAGACCAAGACTTTAAGGGGTCGAGACCAAGACTTTAAGAGGTCGAGACCAAGACTTTAAGAGGTCGAGACCAAGACTTTAAGGGGTCGAGACCAAGACTTTAAGGGGTCGAGACCAAGACTTTAAGGGGTCGAGACCAAGACTTTAAGGGGTCAAGACTTTAAGGGGTCAAGACCAAGACTTTAAGGGGTCAAGACCAAGACTTTAAGGGGTCGAGACTTTAAGGGGTCGAGACCAAGACTTTAAGAGGTCGAGACCAAGACTTTAAGAGGTCGAGACCGAAACTTTAAGGGGTCGAGACCGAGACTTTAAGAGGTCGAGACCGAGACTTTAAGGGGTCGAGACCGAGACTTTAAGGGACCGAGACTTTAAGAGTTCGAAACCGAGACTTTAAGAGGTCGAGACCAAGACTTTAAGGGGTCGAGATCAAGACTTTAAGGGGTCAAGACCAAGACTTTAAGGGGTCAACACTAAGACTTTAAGAGTTCGAAACTGAGACTTTAAGGGGTCGAGACCTTAAGGGGTCGAGACCAAGACTTTAAGGGGTCGAGACCAAGACTTTAAGGGGTCGAGACCAAGACTTAAAGAGGTCGAGACCAAGACTTTAAGGGGTCGAGACCAAGACTTTAAGAGGTCGAGACCAAGACTTTAAGAGGTCGAGACCAAGACTTTAAGAGGTCGAGACCAAGACTTTAAGAGGTCGAGACCAAGACTTTAAGAGGTCGAGACCAAGAGTTTAAGGGGTCGAGACCAAGACTTTAAGGGGTCGAGAACAAGACTTTAAGGGGTCGAAACCGAGACTTTAAGGGGTCGAAACCGAGACTTTAAGGGACCGAGACTTTAAGGGGTCGAGACCAAGACTTTAAGGGGTCGAGACCAAGACTTTAAGAGGTCGAGACCAAGACTTTAAGAGGTCGAGACCAAGACTTTAAGGGGTCGAGACCAAGACTTTAAGGGGTCGAGACTTTAAGGGGTCGAGACCAAGACTTTAAGAGGTCGAGACCAAGGCTTTAAGAGGTCGAAACCAAGACTTTAAGGTGTCGAGATCAAGACTTTAAGGGGTCGAGACCAAGACTTTAAGGGGTCGAGACCAAGACTTTAAGGGGTCGAGACCAAGACTTTAAGGGGTCAACACTAAGACTTTAAGAGTTCGAAACCGAGACTTTAAGGGGTCGAGACCAAGACTTTAAGGGGTCGAGACTTTAAGGGGTCGAGACTTTAAGGGGTCGAGACCAAGACTTTAAGGGGTCGAGACCAAGACTTTAAGGGGTCAACACTAAGACTTTAAGAGTTCGAAACCGAGACTTTAAGGGGTCGAGACCAAGACTTTAAGAGGTCGAGACCAAGACTTTAAGGGGTCGAGACCAAGACTTTAAGGGGTCGAGACCAAGACTTTAAGGGGTCGAGACCAAGACTTTAAGAGGTCGAGACCAAGACTTTAAGAGGTCGAGACCAAGACTTTAAGGGGTCGAGACCAAGACTTTAAGAGGTCGAGACCAAGACTTTAAGGGGTCGAGACCAAGACTTTAAGGGGTCGAGACCAAGACTTTAAGAGGTCGAGACCAAGACTTAAGGGGTCAACACTAAGACTTTAAGAGTTCGAAACCGAGACTTTAAGGGGTCGAGACCAAGACTTTAAGGGGTCAAGACTTTAAGGGGTCGAGACCAAGACTTTAAGGGGTCGAGACCAAGACTTTAAGGGGTCAACACTAAGACTTTAAGAGTTCGAAACCGAGACTTTAAGGGGTCGAGACCAAGACTTTAAGGGGTCAAGACTTTAAGGGGTCGAGACCAAGACTTTAAGGGGTCGAGACCAAGACTTTAAGAGTTCGAAACCGAAACTTTAAGGGGTCGAGACCAAGACTTTAAGAGGTCGAGACCAAGACTTTAAGAGGTCGAGACCAAGACTTTAAGGGGTCGAGACCATGACTTTAAGAGGTCAAAACCCCTTAAATCATAAAAAAACTAGTTTTTAATGATTTAACTGCACATTTTTATGTCTTGGTCTTGACTTGTTCTCCACCTCTTAAAGTCTTGGTCTTGTCTTAAGATAAAGTTTATCTTATCTTATCTTATCTTAAGACAAGACCTTAAGAGGTGGAGGAGTCCATTTCTGATATTTTCAGGATCAAATATGGCAGCTTTAACCAGAAAATGCCAATATTCTTCTCTCTTTGTGTTAGACTTTGAAACATTTTGGGTCAATTTTGAAGATGAATGGACTCTGGATCATTTGCATTGGACAGATTGCTTATTTATTTGAAAAACATTGTCCACAGTTGAGGTAATAATGTTCATCTTGTGCTCTCTATGTCCAATGGTTGAAACTCTACTCATGGCAATCAGTTTGTGGTCAAATGTAAGGATTTTGTTGTTTGACGATCCCATGAACTTACAATCAAATGACAGCCATGATGTTACCTTACTGTATAATCAGTAATAATAATAAATGGTATTTCTAAAGCACCTTTCAAAGCTAAAAGCAATCCCAACGTGCTACAGTAGGGCATACAAGACATGTATTCAAACACAGTCATTTTCTTTTTAATAAAAGGTTATTAGGCCCTTCTTAAAAGAGTCAGTGGCCTGTGGGCTCTTTATACACCAATATAAAACCATATCAAGGCATGTCATTAACGTTGTGTTTGTGTTCCAGATTAATGGTGTACCCCCCTCCTCCAGCAAAAGGAGGGATTTCCGTCACTAACGAAGACCTGCACTGCCTTAATGAGGGAGAATTCCTCAACGACGTTATCTTAGACTTTTATTTAAAGTGAGTAATAAATATATCATCTAGGTACATCAATTAACTACATAACAGTTGACAAAACCGAAATGAAATGATAGTTATAATAGTAATAATACAAAAATAAAAGAATAGATTATATAGAGTATTATAATACTCAGGTATACATTAATTGTCAATTCTTACATCTTATGTTCCTGATAAATCTTCATTATATTGTTCTATACTTTACCCATTTCTCCACCTTTCCACAAAGAGATGCATTTGGTTTCTAATTCTCATAGTTTCTCCATTACATAGATTTCGTTGGTTATTCCATTGTGAGTTATTATCCTTTAGCCAATTCCTTATAATTTGTTTAATGATCGCTATTCTTATCACCAGAAATAGGTAGGAATCTTTTTATTTTATTTCTCAAAGTCAAAAATTCTGATATATTTAAGAAAAAAGTAAATTCTTGGAAAAAGTCAAAAATCTGAGAAAAAAGTAAATTCTAAGGAAAATGTCAATTTTTTAAAGAAATTCAAAATTCTGAAAAAAAGTCAATATTTAATGCTGCGTTCACACCGGACGCGATGCGATGTTTGGGGGCGGCGCGATTACATGTAAAGTCAATGCAGAGACGCGGACAGACGCGAATTCGCTCCGACGGCGCGCATGAAGCGGTGGACGCGGCGCGAATCACGCGTTTGAGGCGATTGAACGGTGCCGCGTTAAACGCGAGAGTTCAATTTGTTCAACTCGAGCGTCAAATTCACGCCGTCACTGACGTTCAACCTCACAACATCAGCCGTTAGCTGTTAGCAGTTAGCACTCAGAGCTCACAGCTCCTCATATCTGTTCAGAAACTGGACAAAAGTTAAACCAGTACAAACCACAGACTGCCTGTGTCATGGAGAATACAGTCGCTGGTTTATTTATGTCTGTAGGCCGTTGTTGTGAGTGTGGACGGTCGGAGCATATACTGCGTTAGCTTAGCCTGGTCGACCCGATCTCCATTCAGAAAACAAGCATTTTAAAAGGTGTTTCGCCTGCCGTCTGTCTGCAGACTTGTCAAAGCATTAATTCATGGTTGTTACTAACCGGTATCAGTATGTTGTTACTTCATCATTTAGAAACGTGTATAACAATTTAATCACGGTCAAATATGTTCATTTGTTGTAGTTGTAGCCCCCGAGCCAGCGCGTCTTGTTTGAATGATGCGAGTAAACACAGCTGGCAGCCGCGGTGAAACTCGAGCGTTTAGAGCGATGCGATAGGAGCGAAGCGAATATTCGCATCGCGTCCGGTGTGAACGCAGCATAAGAAAAAAAGTCAATATTTAAGAAAAAAGTAAATTCTTGGAAAAATTCTGAAGATTCTGAGAAAAAAGTAAATTCTAAGGAAAATGTCAATTTTTTAAAGAAATCTGTTCCTGCCAATTCCTTGTAATTTGTTTAATGGTCGCTATTCTTATCACCAGAAATAGGTAGGAATCTTTTTTTTGAATTTCCCCAGTAATAAAGTGAATGGGTTCTTGTTGAGAGAAAGGCCAAAGATATCGGACATTTCTCTTAAAACTGTTTCCACAAAGTCTCCCAAAACTGAATGGTATGAAACGTTGAGTGATCTAATTCATCCTTCCTTTGTGTGTCTGCGTCAGATATTTAGTTTTGGAGAGATTAAAAAAAGAGGACGCTCAAAGGATCCACATCTTCAGCTCCTTCTTTTACAAAAGACTGAACCAGAGGGAGAGGAGGAACGCTCCGGAAACCAGCAACCTGCCGTGAGTGAGCACGGGAAATATATAATGGGTTTTTGCTGTAATTTATTTATCATTTATTATAATTATTATCATTTATTTTTTAAAGTTATTTTTAGACATAATGCAAAAGACATGAGGATATGCTTACAAAATGTTACTGTTTCAATAATAATTTTCTCTCCTGAACGTTATTATATTTATTACATAAACACTTAAAAATCAATTATGCCTATACAGTAATTGTCATTTTCGCAAAACAATAACCAGTGTAAAATAAAATGATGTTGATAATAATAGTAATAATAAGTATAATAATAATTTAAAAAAAGTATAGAAACACAGTGAAATAAATCTAATTAAATGGTAATAAAGTACACTTAAAAAAAATGTCTCCATTGTATGATTGGGGCTTTTACTGGGAAACGTTTTTTTACTATTAAAAGCCGAAGACTTCACACTAAAAACTCTTTATTTTCCAGAATCCACAAGAGGAAGCACAACAGGGTGAAGACGTGGACTCGGCACGTTGATCTCTTCCAGAAGGATTTTATCTTCGTTCCCATCAACGAGTCGTGAGTCTTCAGTTTCACAAAACCACAGGATTATTGAAGTACCTCTCCTACTTATCTGAAGAACTGTAACGATGTTCTTGTTCTCTCCAGAGCTCACTGGTACCTGGCGGTGATTTGCTTCCCGGGTTTGAACAGTCCTCTATTCGATCAGAACCCTCAGAACCCTCAGAGCCCCGCCTCCTCCAGCGCCCTCCAATCAGAGGAGAGCGTCCCGGACTCTGTGTCTCCTGATAGGCCGGACCCCCCCTCAGAACCCCTGTCTGTCCCCCAGGCCTCCAGAGAGGGAGCGACTGAAGGAGACCCTGCACCCCCCCCCACAGAACCACAATACACAAGTGAGTCGCGTCTGAACTGAGGACTTTTAAAGAGGCCCTCATTTTATAGTATTTTGAGTCTTTACACAGAATATACATTTTTTCCCTCAGAATTAAAAATGTTTTCAGAATTTTTACTTGACTTTCTCAGAAGAAAAATTCAGAGAAAAAAGTATAAAATTCTGAAGAAAAACAATTGAGAAAAAAGTCAGTAATAAGAGAAAAGTAAATTCTGTGAAAAGCTCAATTTTGAAAATTCTGATTGAAAAAAGTTAAAATTCCGGAAGAAAAAAAAAATCCATATTTAAAGGTGGGGTAGGTAAGTTTGAGAAACCGGCTCGAGGTCGCTAGAATTTGAAAATACACAACCGGAGAAAATCTGCCACTTCCTTATAAGTTTGTGCCCCGATGGAAGGCTGACAGGCAGGTAGGTAGTACTGTAAAAAGCACGACCAATCATTTTAGCCGGCCCGGCAAAAATGATTGGTCGTACTTTTTACAGTACTACTGCTTCCACAGATGATATTTATTTAATGGATTTGTTGTCAAAGCACTTCAGATATTCATTGCTATCGGGATGTTAAGAGCATTCCATGGAATATAACAAAAAGTGTATCTCGAGCCGGTTTCTCAAACTTACCTACCCTATCTAAAAAATATTTTGAAAAATGTTAATTCTGTGAAAAAAGTCAGAATTCTTTGAAAAAAGTCAATTGTGAGGAAAAAAGTCAAAATTGACAGAAAAATGAAAATTGCGGAAAAATTGTGAGAAAAAAAATCCAGAAGTCAACATTTTGAGAAAAATCAAAAAATGTTGAGAAACTCAAGATTTAAAAAAGTAAAGTAAATTCTGTGGAAGAAAAAAAAAGATTCTCAGAAAAAAATTCTATTGTGTGAAAAAAGTCAAGATTCTGAGGAAAAAAATATCAATAGTGGCCTGAGCTTTTTATTGGATATATAACATTTTAACACGTTGATGTTTTGTTTTCAGGTGAGTTGCACAGAATCAGCGTCAGCTACGCTTCAGCTAAAGAAGACAGCGACCCCTTCAGCTTCTCTGACGACCAAAGCTCCTGTCAGGTACTTCACTCCTTATACTCTCTCCTTCTCTCCTTCACTCCTTATACTCTCTCCTTCTCTCCTTAACTCCTTATACTCTCATGTCATCTCCTTCACCTGAGCAGTCATACCTGCTAGTTTCATATTGTTGTAAAAAAGTCAAAATTCTGAGAAAAAAGTCAAATTCTGAGAAAAAAGTCGTGTGTGTGTGTGTGTGTGTGTGTGTGTGTAGGATGAGTGCAGTGAGGATGGAACTCTCCCTGAAGACCCTCTCAGTTCTGAATCTGCCTCCAAACTGAACGTCTGCAGACAGTGAGTACATGTCATAACATCTGTGCTCCTGCAGGGGGCGCCAGAGTGTTGACAATAAATCTGTTTTATACACCCTTCATTTTTGTGCCTCACTAGAGTGTCTTTTTGAGTTCAGATTGTTCTATCTATCTATCTATCACGTTTTTAAAGGTTGTAATGTGTTCCCCTGCAGACCTTGTATTCTCATCATGGATTCGCTGCGAGGACCGGCCCGCTCCACCGTGGTGAAAACCCTCAGAGAGTGAGTGAAAAAGAGACAATTTGAGAGATTTCTTTCTATGGTTTTTCTACCATCTTCCACTTGATTCAACTTGCATACTCCAATAATAATAATAATAATAAACTTTATTTATATAGCACTTTTCATGCTTGACGCAGCCCAAAGTGCTTTTACAGAGTATGACAATAACACGTAAGGAACATCATTAAAATAGGGTATAAACAAACAGAAAGAGTTCTATCACTGAACCATAAAACCCAAAAAGACTGCCTTACAAATGTAAACAGTCAGAGAAAAGCTTTCCAAGGTCCGCAAAGGGGCAGCGAAAAAAAAAAGGTATTTCTCAAAAAATGAGTCTTGAAAAAGAAGAGTCGTCTTATATTCGGGTCGATATGGTACAACATGTCTAATATGTAATCTAAAGTACTTTAAACATTTGGAAAAGCGCTAGTTACTAACTCCCTGACTCGGACAGTGTGTCTTTATGGGAAATGTAGTTCTTCCTCTGAGCGTGATTTCCCCTCCCTTGTGTGGTTTGTATTGTTGTTGTTGTTTAGTTTCAGGTATTTATTGTTGTTGTGTCTCAGGTACCTGGAGGTGGAGTGGGAGGTGCGTCAGGGCTCCACTCGGTGTTTTGGGAAAGAAGTGATGAAGGGCTCGAGCCCTCGAGTGCCTCAACAGGACAACTTCAGCGACTGTGGGGTCTACGTCCTGCAGTACGTGGAGAGCTTCTTCGAGGTGAACGCACTCTCATTAAACACCTTTTCTCAATCTTAGAAATAATTATTCGAAAAAAGTCCAAATAAAGAGGAAAAAATTCAATTCAGAGAAAAAACCTTTATTTATTCTGAGAAAAAAGTAAATATTCTGTGGAAAGATTATTTGAAAAAGAGTCAAAATTGTGGGGAAAAAAAGTCAATTATTAGAAAAAATACTATTCAGAGGTAAAAGTAAAAAATCTGAGAAAAAACGATTTGGAGAAAAAAGTCAAAATTGTGAGAAAAAGTCAATTCTGAAGAAAAAATCTGTTCTAAAAAAACAAGATTTCAGAGAAAATAATCTGAAAGAAAGTCAAAACTCTGAGTAGAAATGAGTGTAAATCGAAAGATTTTCCGAACACAATATTGTAAACACGCCTATAAAATAATAAACATTGTATTTTACATCTCTCCCCAAACAGAATCCCACCTGCCCGTGAACGTCCGACTGGTTTATTTGACATTTGACTTTAACTTATGTTTAAATAAATACATTTTATTTAATATATTATCTTTTTGTTGCACATTATTTATTTTTATTTTTTCAATTATTTTTTTATTTTATTTAACTTTTTTATATACATTTCTTACATTTTTTTAAAGCATTTTGACTTCAACTTTTCATGTTTATATGAATATATTATTTAATTGTTAAACGGAGCACAAACCCAATTTCCTCCAGTATAAATAAAGTCTTCTGAAATCTCCTTTTTTAAAAGGGTTTTTGAGTTTAAACGACTCACAACTACTACTACTGTACTACTACAATTACTGTACTACTACTACAATTACTGTACTACTACAATTACTGTACTACTACTACAATTACTGTACTACTACAATTACTGTACTACTACTACAATTACTGTACTACTACTACAATTACTGTACTACTGTACTACTACTACTACAATTACTGTACTACTACTACAATTACTGTACTACTGTACTACAACTACAACTACTACAATTACTGTACTACTACTACAATTACTGTACTACTACTACAATTACTGTACTACTACTACTACTACAATTACTGTACTACTACTACAATTACTGTACTACTACTACTACTACAATTACTGTACTACTACTACTATTAATGTACTACTACTACAAATACTGTACTACTACTACTACAATTACTGTACTACTACTACAATTACTGTACTACTACTACAATTACTGTACTACTACTACAATTACTGTACTACTACAATTACTGTACTACTACTACAATTACTGTACTACTACAATTACTGTACTACTACTACAATTACTGTACTACTACTACAATTACTGTACTACTGTACTACTACTACTACAATTACTGTACTACTACTACAATTACTGTACTAACTGTACTACAACTACAACCTACTACAATTAACTGTACTACTACTACAATTACTGTACTACTACTACAATTACTGTAACTACTACTACAATTACTGTACTACTATACTCTTACCTACAATTACTGTACTAACTACTCACTATTAATGTACTACTACTACAAATAACTGTACTACTACTACTACAATTACTGTACTCTACTACTACTACTACAATTTACTGTAACTACTACTACAATTACTGTAGCTACTACCTACTACTATTATTATGACTTCTACAACTTATCACAGCAATAAACCAACGTGCTATAAACTAATGAATGTTTCTTCTCTCTCCCAAACAGAGCCCCATCCCCAGCTTCCACCTGCCCGTGAAACCTCTCCGACTGGTTATCCTCAGCAGCGAATGAAGACGAAGCGCGAGGAGATCAGACAGCTGATCCTGAAGATCAAAGAGCGACAGGAAGTGGACAGGAAGGAGGTTTCAGCTTCCCCTCGTTGTCCTGAAGTCCCCGAAACCCCACAGACTCCAAATGTACCCATCAGCCCCTAAAACACCCCCCTCTCCTGACCTCCCCCCCCCCCAATTGTACGCTGCTAGTTTCCCCTCCTCCTCCTCCCCGTAGCTCCCGTTTCCCACAGACATTAAACACACCTTTAACTTTGTACTGATTAAAAGATGACGTGTAAATACGCCGGAGTTTCTCCCGCTGCCTTTGTAATTCATGAAGTGGCCCGTTAACTTATGTTTTCATAGATCGCCTCGTTATTTTGTATTGCTTTCTAGCCGCGTAGAGGACGATGAAGAAGAGGAAGAAGAGGAAATAAAAGTAGATTTGTTTGTGAGTTTGGAAACTGTTCTCAGAGCCATCTGCGTTTTCAGTGCTTGTTGTGGTCTCTTTCGATGTGGACTGGAAACGTGTTCAGCATTAAAAGCAACTCCAGATGCAAAGAGCTCTGCCGTTAGCTCTACTTGTGTGTGGTGTGTGTGTGTGTGTGTGTGTGTGTGTGTGTGTGTGTGTGGGTCATGTGTGTGTGTGTGTGTGTGTGTGTGTGTGTGTGTGTGTGTGTGTGTGTGTGTGTGTGTGTGTGTGGTGTGGTTGTGTGTGTGTGTGTGTGTGTGTGGTGTTGGGTGTGTGTGCTATCATTGCATAAGTGTATTCTTTTCTCCTGGGTTTGAAAATGCTTGGCATTTCAGTAAACAGATGGCTATTTTCTATTAAAAAAGTCATTAAAAAATTCCATATTTCAGATTAATGATTTTGTGTGAGATGTCACTTACATAAATATTTTCAGAAAGCTCAAAAAGTTATCCCTAAAAATATTGATATTGTAATATTTATTTCACATTACTATATGAAAAAGAAAAAAAAGGAGGGCCTCTTATAGATCTTAACAGAAGACAGTTTCCCTCTTCAGCCACTAGATGTCAGCGTGCACTCAGGAATAACATGTCACATAATCAAGATCATAAGTGTGTGTGTGTGTGTGTGTGTGTGTGTGTGTGTGTGTGTGTGTGAGACACAGGAACCAATGGTTTCGAGTTATTCAGAGACTCAAAAAAAGGTTAAATGTAAAAACAATAAGGACGTTGTAAATGATAATATACATATATATAACAGAGATTGCGTGTAAACTATTTATATATAACTAAATAAATAAAGTAATGAAACCCTTTAAGTCCTGAACCCGGAGACTCAACGTCTTCTTTCCAGAAAGCTTTGATTTCAATCTTAACTTGATCTCAAAAGGATTTACATTTAAATCGCTCTCGGGTGTTTTTATGAAACGCTCAGTGGCGTTTTTCTATGTACAAAAGTGGTGGGGCACAAAAAACGTAGATGTCTATATATAAGCTTCTGCAGTGACGTGCAGTGAGGTTCATGGCTGCTGAGGCACTGGCTCTGACTCTTCAGGTTTACACATTTATATTTTGACCTAAACCAAAATATAATATTATTTTCAAAAGCTTTTTTTGTCTGATGCTTCGATTAATTTTAAACAGACAGTTCAACAAAAGGATACCCAAAAAATGTAATTTTATCATTTAAATATTGAATTGTTCTCTCTTAGTAAGATCCCATTTTCAATAAAATGGCGGTCTTACCTTGACTTGAAGATGAAGTCCATTTGCCTATCCTTCTGGACAAACATTTCTATTACTTTTTTGTAAAAGTCCTCCTTATGTTCTTGTAGTTTCAAAAATCTATCATAAATCTAATCGATAGATTTATGATTCAAAAATTATAAAAGTAGGGTAGACATGTGGATGTTATCCGGCTGAACAAAACGTGCATTTATCTAACAGGTACGTTTCCCACAGATCTTATTTCGAGCTATTTTCTAAAATCCTCTGGAGAAATCTCATTGCTTTTTTGTCGAGGGAAACCATGCGCAGCTTACTTCCTGGTTTTAGGACGCGCCCCTGCAGCTCTCTAGTCTCCTCTTCAAGCACCACACTTTTCGCGGCACACGTACTTACAGCCAATCAGCTCTGAATGATGTGAGATGACGTATGGTGGGGATGGCAGCTCAGTGCCCCTATGGTCATTATTTTTTTGCCACACACATTAAATAGGAAAATACTCTGAGCATGCGCAGTGTAGTTTTTACAGTCACCGTTCACTTAGACAGTGAGAGGGAGGGGCATGATCAGGTTTTGTCCCACATGGCTCTAAACGGCTCAATAGGCACACACTGTAGACACTAATTAGAAGAACACAGACTAAAACATAAATGTACAGACGAATCAGATGATTAAACATGATCTTAAAATATATTTTATATATTTTTTTATTTATTTATTGCATTTTTTGTAATCATTATTTGTAATACTTTCTGCTGACACTAGGTGGGGCTGTGCCCCTAATGACCAGTCGCCACCGGAAACGCTCTCGGGTGTTTTGTTCCCGGACTCAAAATATTCACGAGTCTTGAATCGTGTTTTTGAAAGAATCCTTTCAAAACTTTAATATTAATTAACATTTTTAATTAAGTCAATTATCCTTTTGGCAACAGTGATTCACTTACGTGGCAATTATCTCATTTTAAAATCCTCTTAGTGGCTTTTCTAAGGGTTTTTAACCACATCTCATGGTCTTCCTCGGTGGGAGGAGTAGACATTAAATAGGTTTAGTGTTCCTGATAGAGGATAAACCCAATACATCTAATTCATGTGAGATATTTTGGACAATTAGGGAATCCCCATCTGTTGAAGATCAAAAAGGGGAGATTTCTTTCGTCAATCAAGAGCTTTTTATGAATATGTTTTAAGCCCCTATGATCGACAGAGATCAGCACCATTGTTGTCTTTGACATTATCCCCGTTAATCCCTGACCTCCCCGAAGGTTTTACTGCTCAAAGTCACACATGGTAACAATGAGAAGCTGTGGAGGAAATGCAACACAGAAGACTTGAAGACTTGAAGGGCCAAAAAGTTAATTTACATAAAAAAATATGAAGACAAAATCATGTTAAATCAGGACTTAAAAGAAAATGTCAGCAAAAATTAAATAAAAATTATAAATAAAAATGAAATACTAAAAAGTTAATAATATTTAAAAAGGGAATAAATAACAATAATATAAAAAAGTTAAATAAATAATAATATAAAAAAGTTAAATAAATAATATTATTAAAAAATTGAATAAATAACAATAATATTAAAATGTTAAATAAATAATAATATAAAGAATAACAATGCTAAAAAATGTATATGATTATATAATACAAAAGCAAAGAAAATTACATATATTATTTATAAATATTTAAATAAATCAAAAGAATAATTTTTAAATAATAAGAAAAAATAAATAAAATGTGTTTTTAAATAATACATATATGCTACGTTTATATTTATAATAAATTAAATTGTATATAATATTTATAAATAGTTAAATAAATCAATACATAATTTGAAATCCCGGACAGCGCCCCCTGCAGGTTCACTCTATTTATCCAGCGTGTGACGTCACGGGGCCGGTTTCCCAGGATCTCTGCGGGAGAAGGAGCTCTGCAGGGCGGGGGAAAAGAGAGGAGAGGAGACACCCTGGAGAACCGGAGATATACCGGGATAAAAACAACATTCATACCTGTAAACAAGTCCTGGGAGTTCACGCTCAAACGAGGTAGGAAACACCGACAGCCGTTTTGCATGCTCCGGTGTGCGGGGGGGGGGGAGAAATCATCCGTGATGTTAGCTTTTCAACACTTAGCAGGGAGGAAGACCGTGCACACACACCTGCTAAATCACACACACACCTTGCATTTGGTGGTTGTTTAGTTAAACTGCAACAGTAGCTAGTAATATTATCATTTTATAGTTTGATTCCTACGTTTAAAGCTGCCATATGTGATGTTTCAAGCAACATAAATGGTGCTTGGATTGGTCGGCGCCAGACGTCCTTCAAATATATGTCAATTGAAATTGTTTGGAGGATTACAAGAGGAATGTATATAAGAATACATTGGTAATATTTGTATTCAGAACAAATGGTTGACACAATAGAATTCGGCATGAAGAAAATCCACTTTACCTCCTTTTATTTTATTGGGTTTCAACTTTTCCACAACACTCATAGGCGCTGCCATTGCTACCAAAGGGTGGATTCTCATGAAAGAAAATGTAGACAAACAATGCTTAAAAGTTGCCTATTTGGAAAAATAATCGTGATTGGTGGAATATTTATACGCCGATTTGAAGACAACTACCTCCTTAATCAGAACAAGTCATAATGAATATATCATACTTTATACAAACAGCTGATAAACCACGCAATTCTTAATTTTGACGTTTTTTAAACGAGGTTTTGCTCGGCGTCTGAACAGCTAGAGGCACGCGCACATCGAGCATAAAGAGCGTTTTAGCACGAGCTTCATCACATTAAAGGGAGTTCAAAGGGAAGGGAGAAATCAGTGGTGCGAAAATGACATGAAGAGGCTGTGTTGTTGTACAGCCAGTATGTCAGATATCACAATATGAGCATGGCTGCGGCCTGCAGACACACACACACTCACACCCTCACACACACACTCACACAGACCATGGGAAGCAGAATCAATGGCTTTTGCATAAGAAGAGAAGCTGAGGGTGGTGGCTTTGGCCATTGTGTTATATTAATGCGATGGTAGAATATGATGGGGCATCCTTGAGCAGTCTGTACACTGTGTGTTTTCATCTAGTGATTACATAAGAGCTCTCTGTGCTTATTGTGTTTGCTCTGAGCTTGTTTTTATGCTAAAGCTGCTTTCAAATCACTCCTATGGACATGTGTTTCTCCTAAAGTCGTGTGAAATCTCACTCTATAACTGTAAAAAGCACTTCATGTTGTCTTGTATTATGTCACCACGTTTTATTTATGGACCTACATGCAGTTTGTGGTCTTTTTAACGCATTGAAGCATACATTTTCCATAGCTTCACTTCAGAGGCCTCTCCAAAAGCTAACTCCTGACTACAGATCTTTCCTATTAACTGTAAAGGCACTTTATGATGTCTTATATGACGTCACAACTCTCAATAACTGTAAAAAAGCACATTTTGATGTCTTATATGATGTCACCACGTTATATACATGCAGTTTGTGGCATTTGTAACTCATTCAAACATACATTTTCCATAGCTTCACTTCAGAGGCTTCTCCAAAAGCTAACTTGTGACTACAAGTCTTTCTCAATAACTATAAAAAGCACATTTTGATGTCTTGTATGATGTCACCACTCTTTATTCATGGACTTACATGCAGTTTGTGGCATTTGTAACCCATTCAAACATACATTTTCCATATATTTACTAAAGGAACCTCTCCAAAAGCTAACTCCTGACTTCTGACGCACCTTTGACCTTTGCTCCCTCCGCACCACATCCTTGTTTTATGGCCGTATTGACATTAAAGTGACATTATGTGACAGCACAATGGTACTTATTGTAGTCGGGGATCAAAGTCCTCTGCAGGAAATGATCCTGCATATTTATTGGATTACTTGCACGCTGCTCAAAGCCTTGAGGTTATGAACTTGATGTTAAAATAATAAGTTAGAAGTCTGAACATGTTTGCTTTCTGGCTGCAGATATGTGACGCTTTGCATCCTGGGTAATGGCTGATATCCAAATGTCAGGATAAGCCGTTTAAATGCATCCTGAGCCATTTAATGTACACTTGTAAACAGGAGAAAGCTGACAGTAGTAATACTACAGAGGAAGCAGCTGCTGGAGTGAGAGGGAAAACTAGTGAATGAACTCCTGGAATATCCTGGAAGAGTTTCCCGGATGTTAGATGGAGGGACATTTGATTCATTCTTTGTTGAAGTTGGGTTTGTTTATTGTGGATGTTCACCTTTACTAGCAGGTAAAGAGTGATTTTACATCCCAGAAACACACGGTATAAATAAGCTCTTCAAACTTCTGCTTTGTGAGGAGTTGTGTTACTGTGGTGGGGTCAGGTTACCTCATCCCTCCTTAGGCCAAAGCAAACGCTATTCCTTTGAGGAAACCCATTGTTAGTTATATAATCAAATTACCGTTGTTCTAAGATAAAGGTCAAATGTTAAAGTAGAGACACTACATACTGATATACACCTGAACATCAGCAGGAGAGGACTCTTTAAAGTAGAGACACTACATACTGATATACACCTGAACATCAGCAGGAGAGGACTCTTTAAAGTAGAGACACTACATACTGATATACACCTGAACATCAGCAGGAGAGGACTCTTTAAAGTAGAGACACTACATACTGATATACACCTGAACATCAGCAGGAGAGGACTCTTTAAAGTAGAGACACTACATACTGATATACACCTGAACATCAGCAGGAGAGGACTCTTTAAAGTAGAGACACTACATACTGATATACACCTGAACATCAGCAGGAGAGGACTCTTTAAAGTAGAGACACTACATACTGATATACACCTGAACATCAGCAGGAGAGGACTCTTTAAAGTAGAGACACTACATACTGATATACACCTGAACATCAGCAGGAGAGGACTCTTTAAAGTAGAGACACTACATACTGATATACACCTGAACATCAGCAGGAGAGGACTCTTTAAAGTAGAGACACTACATACTGATATACACCTGAACATCAGCAGGAGAGGACTCTTTAAAGTAGAGACACTACATACTGATATACACCTAAATAGCATGATATGAGCACGATATGTCCTCTTTAGGGTTTTTTAGCTAGTTAGTTTTTGTGTGTCATTTTGACATCAGCCTTCAATTGATTTCACACATTATTCTAACCAGGTGAAGTTACAACCCCTTAAAGTGGAATAATCTGAATAATAAGTGTTTTTAAAAATACTCCAGACTTGCATATTATGATGTAGTATCAATTAATCTGTGTTATAAATCTCAGTATTTTTGTAAACTCTCTCGAGGTCACAAACTGAGCCGAAAATATTTCTTGTTGTCATATTTTGTGGGCTCTTCCGGGATCTGAACCCGGGACATTTTCCACCCTCAAGTGAGAATCATACCCTCAGACGGATACTCTGATTGGCTCTCTTATTTCTCCCTCAATCCAACAGCAAACCTGTGTTTTTTTTATAGAAGCCAAATCTGGACATGTGAGCTCAGCTGTTGAGCTAAGCTAATGCTAACGAATGCTAACGCCCTACAGCAGAAAGTGACAATGCGAGTTCATAGATATCTGGTTTCTGACGGAGGTGTATTAGTGCAGGTGTGCTTTTGTAATGAAGTGAATTTGACCTGAATTAGTAAACGAGCAGACGAGTGAGGAACGGTGTCGATTTACAAAGAACAGAGCTTGTAAACAAAAGTCTCGTGGCTAAAGAGAGAAAACAGAATCTGTCACTTCTTCAACGTTCAAATCCCATCAAGCTTTGCATTTTCATAATAGTTTCCCACAGTTGATGTTATTTACTCCTCTCATCTAATAGTTGATTGAGAAATAAATGGGTTGTGATTTCTTTAATCAGTGATCTGTGATTCATCATTTATCTTAAGTCTGATGTCGTTAGGGCAATTAATCGTATTTTAATCGCAATTACGATTTTGGCCTGCCACAATTACGAAAACAACATAATCGAAAAAAACGATTATTTTGCTTTGCTAGGTTGTGACCGTGCACTGCAACACATTTGATCAAATGTATTTGTATTTATCATATTTATATATGTTTAGTAGCTTGTGGAAGTGCGCTCCAAAATATTTGTTGATCTTGTTTATTGGTATTTATTATTTTGATATTATTTATTTAAATGTAGATATATATTTATCATTTATTTAATTTATTTTTGTATTGGTTTTTCAGTTGAATTATACGTTCAGGGAAATCAACAGTTAAAAAGATAATGTTCAAATTATTATTTGTATTTAAAAGTTCAATAAATGGATGTTTTCAAAGTCAATGAATAATCGTATTTAATAATCGTGATATCAATTATTGACCAAAATAATCGTGATTATGATTTTTGCCATAATCGCACAGCCCTAGATGTCGTCATTAGTAGTTGTGTTTCTGACGGCAGCAGACGAGGTCTTTCTTGTCTATTTCCCCCTAAAAGTGACTCTGTCTAACGTCACCATCATTATGGAGGTGAATGTTCTGTTGATACCCACAGGAGCAGGAGTGGTTGACCTTTGAAACTCTTAGGCCTGATTGCACACAGCGAGGCACTCTTTACTGATGCATTCTGGGTAATATTCAGGGAAATATAGTCATTTCTTTTCATCTCAATGCAGCTTCAGAGAGGCTCTTAATATCGATCAGGAAACATTTCATCAAAGAATAAGAAGCTAAAAGATGTTGTGGTGTTTTGTGGCTGGAACGTATTCTAAGTTCCATTTTACACTTTCATGATCAATCATTATAAAACATATATATATTATTCTGAAATGGACCAATCTGCACAATGACTACTTTTACTGTCGCTACTTTCACTATATTTTGATGATAATACTTTATACTTATACTTGAGGAACATTTTGAATGCAGGACTTTTACTGTAACAGAGTATTTCTACACTCTGGTACTTCTACTTTTACTAAGTACAAGATCTGAGTACTTCTACTTTTACTCAAGTACAAGATCTGAGTACTTCTACTTTTACTCAAGTACAAGATCTGAGTACTTCTACTTTTACTCAAG